CTCCCCCCCCCCCTTCGTGGTTGTGCACTGCTCCGCCTTCTATTCACCTCCTCTTTCGATACAAACACTTGGTGGAACCGAGACGACAGATAACACGAAAAGAAGTCTTTCTTTTTTGCCATCCATATGAAATACTGCGTCTCTACATCTGCTGTCTTGCCCCCATCCTCGATTCTCGCAATCTTTACTCTTCTCACTGCGGGCGGAGCCGCGGCGGGTCCACTTGTAAAGTTAATAATAGTTAATAAAAATTTTAAAAAGTTATTATAAACGAATATAACACCCGCCGCTATATTCGTATACAATGCCTGGGCGTTATTTCGGGTGAAGACGCTAGCCTGGAGTCAGACTTTGGATGCATGTTTCTGTCCAGGGTTTGGGCCTGGGTCATTGCGGTTTAATGAAATGGCAGTTGTATGGTCCCTCTCTCCCTCAACCTCATTTCTCTCTCCCTGTCTATCTGAATGCCTCTCCCTTGCTCACTCTGCCTCGCCCTAAACCTAGCTAGCGAGCCCAGTGCCATTGACTGTCCACTATCAACAACAAGCAGCACACTTTGCAGTATCCCAAAATAGCGCAGCAGTGCTTCCACATGGACTTGAAGTGAGTATGTGGTGACAACTCCAACAAATGGACTTTTGTACTTGACGGTCCGACTTCCAGACTTCCTCTGCCTGTTATGGTTCTGCTATTCTGCAGACATTTGTCGCTTCCGGAAGTTTGCGGGCTTTCCTGGGACTTCGCTGCTGACTGGACTCCGCTGACAAAGAGGACCACCTACTTCTACAGATTTTCCTACCCCTACCTCGGAATTCGTGAATATGGTACACGTGACTGGGGCTGATGAAAGAACTGGGAATTGGGAATGGAACTGGGACTGAGACTGGGACTTCTGCCAGATGGGTACTATGGACTTCCAAACCCTGGGACCGGGTCCACACCTTGAATGGTGAGATCCGTGAAATCCTTTCAATTGGGCTGGTGGCCCTGTGGCCCTGCAACAAATGGAGGGAGCCTGCACAAATCCAAGGGTCACCAAGATGTCCTTCGCAAACAGAAAGAAGGTACATACGCAATGCAGAAATGAGAAGCTGCTTCTCCTCGTTTTCCAATGTTTACATTACTCTTCAACTCATGCTTGTCTTCTACCCTTTATGGTTGAATAAATGCCGACCAGAACACTATTCCAGGATCCCACCGTGGTCGAGAAATTGTGCAAAGGGAGCCACAGCAATTCAACACTAGTGTTGACGACATCCTTGCACAAATTCAAGGCATGGCATGAGTATTGAGTTTTCTGTATGTTCTTTGTTCATCAAGTCACTGTCATCTGTCACACAGAAACCCACTGACCTCGTTGAGCATTCCCAAGCATGGCACCAGAATCTTCTCATCGTCTGTTTCCAGTTGTGGCAGCAACACCTGTACCCATTCCACCCAAAAAGAGGGTAAGAAACTACGTTACAGGCCACCCAGATCGCCAGCGAACGACCAAAAAAGCACCAAGAGAAAAGGAGTGCGGTGAGCAGCAAGGCACTTATGGCTGAAAAGCTTTCATGGTTTGGGTAGATTTAGGCATAAGGGCCACACTTGCAGTGAGGATCACAAGAGAATCCTGATGCGTCTGAAGACTCTGAACCAGAAACATTCGATCAGCAGTAATTCAAGCCAAAGATAGAAGGCACAGGAATGGGGTGTGGTCTATGAAAGAACCTCGAACTCTGTTTCATGTACACACACACGTACACACAGAGGGTCATGGCACTCTTGGTGTTGCATACACGTCCTGCGGTGTTTGTTTGATTTGCAATGGCTTTGTAGGCCGTCTCAGAGGGCTCTCTTAATTACTTTAGACCATTGGTGGATGTGGTCGGTGCTTTCCTGTTAGTGGAGCCTTTTGTGTTACGGTGCGATTATTTTTTTATGTGTTTTGTGTGATTGTTGTTCGGTAAGTGTGTTGCCTTATGCCCTCCATCCTTGAATAGATTATAATGTATTTGTCCAAGTGTGCCGCTTTGGCGGCAGACGGGTCTGTGGGCACTTGGCACTGAACCACACAAACGTGGCCGACCTTCCATCTTCTACTACATTGTCTATCTATACCTTTCTTTATTTATGGATGGGCTGTGATGATTTGTGGATGAATGCCGGAGAGAATTCGAGGCTTTTCAAAAAACACGCACACACAGCAAATGACTGATGGGAGGATGGACAGAAGGACTTGTAGATGGACAGGTGATGGAGAGACTCGTGGACAGGCTAAATCAGCCTGGCAAGCACGTTTGTGTGCATGCAACCAAGGGAGAAAGTGGTCTTGCACTGAAGTTCTGACTTAAGGCCATGGTCGGGCACTGAATATAGCTTCCAACTCCTCTTGGAAAGAGGATACATACGGATCAGTTGAGTTAACTTCATATTATTCACCCTCTGCTTACTGTATACTCTTAACACAGTTTGAAAAAATCTATTCACGGGATATCAGCAAGATGACTGAAGGAAAAATAGTAAAATACACCGGCAGTGTCAGGCACCAACATTCTGCAATTTAATAGAACACAGATTTTTTAGACAAGACAGACAAATGGCAGTTCCCGAGATCCTATTCAAGGGAGCAAGCTCCCATGGGAGAGCAGTTATTACCGATAGGCAGCGAAGCGAATCCATGCCAGAGAATATCATGTGCAGACAATCTTTTGCACATTCTTGGGCCTGCAAAAGACAAATGGCAGTATGCCCGGACAAATGTCAAATGGCACTGCTTTTTTTTTGTAAATAACTAGATAAATGTGAGGAAATGTAAGCATAGGGAAGGACAAAAGGGAGGGTTAAGCAAGGTGATGAAAGGTGAGGGAGAGAGGAAGAGAGGAAACGACAAAGAAGCAGAGACCGGCTTCCAAGATGGACATCAAAACCTCCTGCATGCTACCCGTCAATTATTGTAGGAATAAAAACATCAGAAACTTGACAGAAAGCAAGAATTGAAAGGATATGCACGCCTCAGACGTCCGGACACCGTACCGCGTCCCATTTTCTTTTGTATCATGGGGCGAAACGTAGAGCTTTCCGGTAGGTACTGTACAGGCCAAAATAGAACCCTGATAGGATAAAGGCCTGTAGAACCGATAGAAGTCCCCAGTAGTCAGTAGGGAGAATTTTGCCACATTTCAAATCCCGGTCAAGTTGCAGTTCCGTCCCAGGAAGGGCCTAGGATGGTCCAAATCTCTGTCAACTGCAGCAAGGACTGACAGGACCCACGATGCAAGCCATTGGGAGGTCCCTGCATGCACAAAGGGAAGCCACAGCCAAGAAACTCCTCATTTCTGAGGCCGGCTGTTGCCGAAGCACTGCTGTGTTATTGTGCGATCAAGCCCTGGACACGTGAACAGTGTGCGGCGAAGAAGATAAATGACGGTGCAGTGCGCCATAGTTGTAGGGGGGAGAAGCAGTAGAGAAAGAGTGAGCAAGGACATTCAGCGAGAGATCACATGACCTGAGGGTAGGGGGGGAAGAAGAGAGAGAGAGAGAGAGAGAGAGAGAGAGAGAGAGAGAGAGAG